GGAACCAGGAATTGAACTCAGGCCCTTGCGCTTGCCAGGGAAGCGCTTATTCCACTGAGCCATCTCCCTGGCCCCGAGCATCATTCTCCTTTAGGGCTGAATAATATTGTTATTGTGTGGATGGACTGCATTTTGTTTAGCTTTCCGTCAGTTTAAGTCCATCTGAATTGTTTCCACTTTTTGGTTATTAAGAATTATAGGGGCCAGGGAAATGGCTCAATGAAATAAGCGCTTCCCTGGCAAGTGCAATGATCTGAGTTCAATCCTCAGTTCTGAAAAAAAAAAAAGAGAATTATGGATATCTATGGACCAATTTCTGTGTGGATGTAGTTTTTTTGGTTCTCTTGAAGGGAGACACCTGAGTGTGGAGTGGCTGGCCCTGAGGTAACTAACTGTGTGTGACACTCTAGGGAGCCACCAGTTCTGTTTTTAACAAAACTGTGTCCCACATTGTATCAGCAGCATTAAAGGGCTCCAAGTCTCTCTCTCTCTCTCTCTCTCTCTCTCTCTCTCTCTCTCTCTCTCCCTTCCTTTCTAGGAATTTAGTACTGCTTGTACAGGGTCTACAGGGTCTCACTATGTAGATTTGATTCATAGTGATTCTCCTGTTTTTAGCCTCCCAAGCGCTGGGATTACAGGTGTGCGCCACCATGCCCAGTCTCAAATCACTGTCTCAGTGTGCCCCGGGGTCAGTTTAGTCTGCTGAGCTATCTGGCCAGTCCCGCATTTTCTTTCTCTTTTTCTGTACTGGGAATCAAACTCAGGGCCTTGGGCTCTCCACATTTTCACCAGAACTTGTTACGTGTTTTTTTTTGTTTTTTGTTTTTTGTTTTTTTGTTTTTTTTTTTTTGCAGCCCTATTGTGTGACCTTATTGTGCAGCTGGTCTTCTTTTCAGTTCATCTGATATGAATTTCTCCACATCTTTTGGACTAAATTTCCCCTGTACTGCCTTTGAAGCACAAGGTCCTAAGCTTGATCCCCACCAAAAAAAAAAAAGAATCCCCTCCTTTCCCTACTGGCAACCCTTCCTATGTTGCTCATTAATAACTTTAATTCCACAGATTTTATATCTCCTATAGCCCTGTTTCCCTCACCAGTTTCTGATTCCTGAGCCAGTGTGAAAGTATTCTTTCAGCATTTCCCCTCATATTGTAGCACCAAGACAAAATATTTATTCTTTAGTTATATTTTCATGTTTTCCATATCATTTGAGCAATTCAATCTTGATTTTTTTTTTTTTTGAGACAGAATTTTGGTACGCAATTCAAGCTGGCCTTGAAATCACTTTACAGCCCACACTGGTCTGGACCTCACAGCAATCCCTCTGCCTCAGTCTCCAGAGTGCTGGGATACAGGTGAGTGCCACCCCCCCCACTCAATCCGGAACTGTGTTTACATTTTATTTACTTTTAAGTTTTATTTTAAAGCGTGTAAAAAAATTAAAAAATTAGAAATGATGCAGAATTTCCAAAAACAAGATGACAGAAACTCAACCATGGTTGCTACATTGCATATTGCTGTCAAAGTAGTTGCCTAGATTAACAGATATAAGCTTATAAAACTGGACAAAAGATTTAAGCATTAACTGCTCCTTTCAATAAACAAATAGAAAGTAGTAGCACAATTATTTTAAGGAGAAAAAAAAATCCAGTAAAAGCAATGATATGGAATTTCAAAACAAGATAATATGAAATTAACAATTGTTATTATATTATGTATTATTATCTTCAAAGTATTTGTTCAGATTCAATCTTGAATTTTAAGCTTATTCTGAGAATCATATTTCTATAAAGTATATATATCACTTAGCATATTGATGATTTATTCACAGATTTTTTTTGTTTTTTGCTCAGTGGATGGACTCAGGGCCTTCACACTGAGCTATATCCCTAGCCTATTTTTTATTTTTGAGAAAAGTTCTCACTAAATCACTAGGTGTCCTAGGTCGGGCTTGAGCTTTGAATCTTCTCGCTTCAGTCTCCCAGAGTGTAGGGGTTCAAGGGTGCACCTCCCAGCTGGTGGTAAAAATTATTTTGAAGATGATGTGTTTTATGTTCTTTAAAACCCTGTGTAAGGAATAAAATAGGATGAATTCCTCTATTTATCCTAGGGGGGAAAATTAGAGTGAGCCTTTCCATTGCATTTGAGTATCCTTTCTCTGTTTTTTTTTTTTTTTTTTTTTTTTTTTTTTTTTTTTTTTTTTCAGTACTAGGAACTGACCTCAA